CCTCAGTGCGAAGGGACAAACACACACAGGAGGGGACACTGCCAGCCTTCGGAGCCCCAGGGGAAGTGGCTGAGGGTGGGGTCGTTTCCGTACGATTTTTAATGTGCCGTGAGCCCTGCCTTTCCTTCCTGCTGTGGGAACGCTTTCCTGCATCCCTGCCGCGCTGCTGCCTGGGGGATGCGCTGSGAGATCCCTGCCTTCCCCAGGGACGAGAGGAGCTCGCTGGCTGCCCGGAGACAACAGCAAGTGATTTTTCCGACTGACGGGAAATGGGGCATGGTGGCAGTAGCTCTAGAGAGCGCTGCAGCCCCGCGGGCACCCCCTGTCCTGCCCCAGAGGGATGGGGGGACGAGCACCAGGGTAGGGGACAGCGAGCCCAGCCTGCTCCCACCCTGCTGAACCGCAGGGATTAGAAAGCAACGGTTCTTGCTAAATAGCAGGGATTAGAAACATTTTTTTTAACAGGTATGCGGGGCAGAGATGGCTGCAGGTCCCCAGAAAGGGACAACACAGCAGAAGGTGCAGTTCCAAATGCAGAAAGCCCTGGGTGCTCACTGCTTTTTCCCCTATCTGCACCCACAGGACTGATGCTCCTTTTGCCTCAAGTCCGATAACACAAATGTAAAAAGAAGAAAGGGTTTAGAGACTTTCCAAGTGAAATCTACCGGTGGAAAGGGCAKCATTAGGATCCTGATCCTTCCCTGTCCCTGAAGAGAGTGGGTAGAACAGATTGAGCAGATGACAGATAAAGCCTCCCCCTTGCTGAGATCCCCAAAACACCACCTGCCCCGCACAGATCCCTGAGAGCACGGACCTCAGGTGGAGGTGCTTCACCWTCGAGTGACCTGCCTTGGTTTGTACCAGATTTGGCTTCCAGGTGGATTTAAGTTATCCACCCCAAGGCAGGTTCGCAGCAGCACATCCAGCTACAAACAACTGCATTGCTACTCTTCAACAAAATATTCAAAACATTCTAAGAGAGGAAAGACCAGAAACTCTTTGCTGTAGATCTAAAGTGCAGATTCTGCTCCTGCTGCCGTGTGATTTTGCTAAGATTTTACATCAGTGAATGCAATCCCTCAGCATTCCCAGCAGAGTTGCCTTCCCGGACAACAACTGGAGTGTCCCACTGAGTCCCAAGCAGCCTGGTGTCCCCCAGGCCCCTCTGCGTTGTCCCAGTTAAGTGAYCCCTCATCCCACCCTGCCAAACCCAAACACCCCTCAGGTCCCAGCAGCAATCCATACCTTCCTGGAGCACCAGGAGCCGCTGAGAAATGTCCAGCACCAGGAGCTGCAGAGCCCTCGGGAACCTCCTTGTACATCCCCGGGGCGCTGCCCCCCTCGCTGTCCCCCCCGGCTGTCCCCACGTAGGCACTGCCACCCCTGAGCCGGCATTAGCTCCAACAACAGCCTTTGTTCTGGAGCTGGAACAAGGGCACATTGTGGGCAGCTGCCTGCACTGCCAGGCCTTGGCAGAGAATGGCTCTGCACCGTGTGCCCTCTGCCAGCCCTGCTCGCCGTTCTCCTGGCGAGCTCGTGACTCAATCCGCTCTGAACTCTGCTTTCCCTGCAAACTGAAAAAGCTGATTTTTGATCGGTGCGGCGGGTGGCTAAAGCCAGAGCTGGGCTGCGGGCACGGGAAAACAAAGCTGCTGTTTTTCCTCCCGTACGCCGCGGCTCCCGAGGTCAGTTTTGGGCTGATCTTGCAGAAWTGGGTCATTCACTCTGGCCAGGACAGGCCTGTGTGAGGCTGGCATTGCCCATGGCCCCGAGCCCCCTTTGATGTTTCATCTCCCACCACAACAAGCTTGGAAATCTGAGTATCCTGCCTGGATATTCAGACACCAAATTTCAATGAATTCACCTTCTAAACAGCAATCATCTTTTAGGCTGTC